AACTGTATTAGCAGTAAATTAACCGAGAACAAAGCAAGCACGGTTTAAGCTGTTTTTTTTTAATTATTTTGTAAGGGAATACTTGATTTGAAATATAGGTGGCGTGACTCTTATCAATGATATTTAAAAATATTTAAAACTTTGTACGTCTCTCTTGATTTATGCATTATTGTTGTTGTTGTTGTTTTTTTTTTACAATTTTGAGACATTATTTTAACGATAGCCGATCTGAAAGAGGACGTTTTTAGCATACATATACACACATTTAAATATACTTGTTCACACAATCTCCCCAGGTGGCCCTTCGCTATCGTTAAGCCGTTTTTCGTATACCGTTTAGAACGGCATAAAAACAACAAAATGTAATTAATTTAAATCTTACGCTGACTGTTGGTTGTATATAAAAATTATCATTCGTGGACCACCCTGCCCAGAAAGTTTACACTTTAAAGAACGGCTGTTTGTGCTTATTTTGGAACAGCATAAATATCACGTCAATACAAACAAAAAAGTAACAGTTCTGCTAAACATGTCTGAACAAGAAAACAGTTTTTAGATCCGTTTGTGTCAAACTATTTGTACAATCTCGAAAGTTGTAGTAGCTGGCAAACAAGTTATTAGCTGTGTACATTAACAAAAGGGGTACCGAGTGACAAGTGAGGTGGAGTTTTGCTTGTCAGCATCTTGATATATGACGTTCAGCGACCCCTGGAGGTGGAGATCAGCAGCATTCATGCATTACACGACGTTACATACTTCAGCAGTATTAAAGTGTGCAAAGAGCTAATTTATTTATGACACAGCTATGAATGTGTGTTGTTATTACAACTTTGTTACATCTGAGAACATAGTCAAATCTCAATCCAGTCACGTTTCTTCCATTACTGATAAACACACAGTAAATTAACCGAGAATGGAAGAAAGTCTGTTTGAATCTGAAATAAATACTTTTAATATTTTAACACGATTCTCACCACCAGGGGTTTCTGTGCGTCACAGGAACGCGAAGCTCTAAGCCAGTTAACCTTAGGCTTACCATCCATACCATCGACTTTTTTAAAAACTTATTTTTTACTAAGCTATTTAATTCAAATTGTTTGTGAGACATAGCCTTGTTGATTGCTTCCAATGGCTCAGTGGTAAGTCTTCAGGCTTATAACATTAAAAACCGGGTTTAGATGCCCCTTGTGGGCATAGCACAGATAGCCCATTGTGTAGCTTGGTGATAAATAACAAACAAGTTTGTTGTTTAAAGGGTTCTTAATCAAATAAAATGCGAGCTATACAAAAACTATATAAACTATATATATTTTAAATCACACATTCTATAAGTGATTTCACTTAGTTATATTATATATAGCGAGTGTTTTTAAAGGAAAAATGATTCAATAAATGAACCCAATCTGTTATTACAACTTTGTTACATCTGAAAACATAGCCAAAACTCAATCCAATCACGCTTCTTTCTTTCATTACTCTAGCCCCCCCCCCCCCCAGTGGCACAGCGGTATGTCTGTGGACTTACACTGCTAGAAACCGGGTTTCGATACCCGTGGTGGGCATAGCACAGATAGCCCTTTGTGTAGCTTTTTATTTTGTTTATTTTTTTAGTACTAGTGGATGTATGGAAAGATCAGACTGCGAGTCAAGAGTAAAGGTCGTTAAGAGAAAACTATTCTGAATGTTTGAAGTGTTTTGTGATTTAACTGAATAGTTTGGAAAACTATTCTGAATGTTTGAAGTGTTTTGTGATTTAATTGAATAGTTTGGAAAACTATTCTGAATGTTTGAAGTGTTTTGTGATTTAACTGAATAGTTTGGAAAACTATTCTGAATGTTTGAAGTGTTTTGTGATTTAATTGAATAGTTTGGAAAACTATTCTGAATGTTTGAAGTGTTTTGTGATTTAATTGAATAGTTTGGAAAACTATTCTGAATGTTTGAAGTGTTTTGTGATTTAATTGAATAGTTTGGAAACTATTCTGAATGTTTGAAGTGTTTTGTGATTTAATTGAATAGTTTGGAAAACTATTCTGAATGTTTGAAGTGTTTAGCGAATTAATTGAATAGTTTGGAAAACTATTCTGAATGTTTAAAGTGTTTAGCGAATTAATTGAATAGTTTGGAAAACTATTCTGAATGTTTGAAGTGTTTAGCGAATTAATTGAATAGTTTGGAAAACTATTCTGAATGTTTGAAGTGTTTAGCGATTTAATTGAATAGTTTGGAAAACTATTCTGAATGTTTGAAGTGTTTTGCGTTGTAACTGAATAGTTTTATCCTGCTTTAAATGTACAGACAAAATTCAGCGTCAAACGAGTGGATGTTATGAGAAGCTGTACAAGGAAATGTGGATTGCGAAAAATGACAAGTGTAGTGGTTATAAGTCGTTATAAATACGTCGTAGCGACCTCTATTGGTGAGGCTTAAAATCATTTTGAAGGCTAAATACCTAATAGTGACAGTTGCACAATCTAAGACCATCTGTATATCTAATGTTAGAACAGAACAGTGAATGTTGCTGACAGTAAACTATGCAGTAACATCCATTCCACTGTCTCATCATTTCAGACTGTCTTTTTTACTAATATATATATATATATATATGTATATGTACAAAAAAAAAACAAGTAATTTAGTAAAGAAAGCCCAAGGAAGTACCTTTCTATACTTTTTTTTTTATCTTGTGAAAGTCGTTCTACTAGTTCTGGCAGGATGAATGAGTCACAGACGTGAAATAGACCTTCTAGTTGTAGCCATCAGTCTGGTAGAGCGTGCCGACAGCACGTGCTATGCCCGAACCATTGGCAAAAATTGAAAACGTACGGAGTGTCCAAACAAAACATAGAAAAAAATGAAGTGAATGTATTTTTTTTTTTGTTTTACTTAACATTTTTTTTTTTCTACTAATTTTATTTGCTGAAATCCAAATTTTGATTCACTGTTTTCTCCGATAATGGTTCTTCACGAGTTCCGTGTCGCTGAAAATCACATTCGGAAACCTACGATCTGACCGTATCACCAAAATCTGACGTCCACTGGAAGCCAGTCACAGATCGAAGTTTAATTAATAAGAATTATTCTAATGGAAATCTGATGGTTATTCGATAATGATCGAAGTTTTATCGTGTTACTTTGGAAGACCGTCAAAGTAACCACTGAACGTTTGCGAGTTTATACAAAACACTGAACTTACGCCAACAAACGAGTCTGCGAAGACAAAATACGAAGCCCGAGAAATTTGTAATATTAATCACGTGACATTTGAAATATCAAAATATTTCATTTGAGGTGGGGGAGAACTTATTTGAATAGAAATATTTCAAAATTCAACCTTTTTTTTTAAAAAAAACATTTTGAAACTGTATTTTTCTAATTAGCTTATCTTTTGGGGAGAATTAAAGACTCCAAATTATCGAACGTTGTCCAAGTTATGAAATTTGAATCAGGGATGTTTCCAATTTTTTTTTGGGGGGATCAAATTTGCAAAACGGGGTTATTAAGGTTATTTAAATAATTTATTTAATAAAAATAACTACATAAATCCTTTCTACTGTTCATACTTTTTGTTAAAGAATATGTGTAAATATTCACGTACATAGTACGTTTCGTTCGTTTCGATATTTCCCCAAAGCTACACGATATTTACTTCGAACCTTCCTAATTTTGAAACGATAAAACTATAGCGAAGACAGCTAGTGAACGCCACCCACCGCCAACTCTTGGGTTATTCTAGTCGAACAGTGAGATATGACAATCTGTCTTATAACGTACCCACGGCTTCTAAAGCGCGGGGCACGATTTTTCTTTAGTGGTAACGAGATTCGAACTTGGAGCCTTCGGATCCACAGTTCGGCATGTTAACCACTTGTCCATGAAAAGCCATAAATGTTGTAGTTAACCATTTGTCCATGAAAAGCCATAAATGTTGTAGAACTAGAAGTAAGGACGTAAGTCATATGCAACAGTGTAAATTACTTGTACCTGATGATGACAAAACCTTGTCGAAAAGTTTTTCTTCATTACCCATTCAAGCCGTCTCCAGCCATTATCAACCATCTTTAACCTATGCGTTTCTCATAAAAATAAAAAGAAATCAACTAAACTTCAACATGCTTTTATTACACGACTATCACTCGGTGAGACTGCGGCAAGCCTACGGAAATTACAACGCTAAAATCAGGGGTTCGATTCCCCGCGGAAGACACAGCAGCTAGCCCAATGTGGTTTTGACAAAACAAACAAGAATTACACGACTACTGATCGGACAGTCTGAAGGTATGTGGCTCGTAAAAAAAAATAAAAATAATAACCAACAAAAATAAATTAAATATATATACAGTTTATATAATATAAACACCAAACTGCTTAACCCTAATTTAATAATAAAAAAAAAGAGGTAAGCAAATGAAGCCAGTTGTAAGTTTTGATGTCACAGAGCGAGACTGAACTAGAAGAAGATAGCTGTAAATACACGTGCACGTTTTTATCTGGTAGTGGCACACAGTGATAACGTCTACTTTCGTTATCACAAGAGACAAACTCGGCGTATTTTTTGGTTCAAGTCACTCTACCCCGTGTTCTTACCTACCTCGCAGATCAACACTCAAACACCTGACGCTGGTAACTCAGCGAAGCAGCTTGCACAAACATCAAATACAAACAAAGAACAATATTTCTAATGACTTCCAACAACAAACAGACTATTAGTTTCAAGTTACGTAGATGTTTTTTTTCCGTTGTGTTGATGACAGCCATCGGAGGCTGGATTATATCTCACTACAGAGTAGTGGATTGCAGAAATGTTCATGTTCTAAAGAAAATATGTTACTAAAATTAATATTTCTTTTTTTTAGATTAATAGGCTAAAATGAGACATAAATTCTTAGCCTTATGTTAATTTCTTTATTTTTGTGGGCCGCGTTGAATAAAGTTTGGAGCAGAGACATCTTATTTGTAAAAAAAAAAGAAAAGGAGAGAAAAACAACGCTTGTACTTACGCGTCTGTCTAGATATTTGCCGCTGTGATTCCTGCTCCTTTAGCGGCGATTTCAGACCTCCACTATCGGCGGCCACGGTCCTGGAAAAGACAGCGGTCACCAACAGCCTCCACACCAGTGTTCTCGTCCAACTCGCCATCAGTACTTACTGTAACCGGTAACCCTCGCCGAAATGTGATACCCGGGCACGAGCGCTTCTCGCGCGCGGAGCACGAGGACTGGGGGGTGTGGTATGTAAGGGAAAAAGGAGTCCAATGACCCGCGAGTCTAGTCAGACACACACACTGAGAATGAGATTTTGCAGCTGGTATTATAACGGAATACAGGCTTGATGAGCTCGGTATAAAAACGGTGGACCCGATGAACTATGGTGTTGACGTTGTCTTGAATGAGTCGTAGCTCTTCCTTATGACGGGTCTCGCAGTACGGAATGCTTTCTTTTATACCACGATACTGTTCTGTGACTTTCGAACCCGCCAGCGTCCACTTAAAAGATGTCACCTGCGTCCAGTAGAATCTCTAAGGGGGGTCTTCAATTTCCCACCTGTGAGATGAAACGCACGTGCGGCCGACACACCCCCTGTGATTGAGCACACAATGCTGCAGACAGCTGCAGCGAAAAGGTCACAATTCGCGTTGGGAAACTATAGAGATTCTTAACTAAAACGGTAGAAAAGGCTTAACATATATTGTTCGAATTTGCGATCCATTCAGGACTGAGAAATTATCCACGCTCTTCTGTATGACACGATGTCAAACGCTGGTGATCGTTACGTGATGCAGGACGCTTAGCTAGGCCTTTGAATGAAATCGTGGCTACACCGCGATCGTATTATGAACAGAAAGCGCGCGACATGACGTCATCATACAGGGTGAACCACGTAAGTATCGTATCTACTAGAACCGGTCCGTAGCTGTTGTTCACGAGGCGAGCTAGGAGTAGACGTTCACCCTTCGCCGAAACTGAAGTCGGGGAAAGTTTAACATACGACGACGTTCTGATGTTGCTACATCAGTTGACTCAAGTGTAAGCTTTCCAAAATCATAGTGGAGCCAAGCACGGTTACAATTGAGTCTCTTCCACAGTGGTTGCTTACAAGTTGTGTAGACGTACTAGTCAATTTCACCCAACGTGAACACACTTGTTATTGTCGTTTTTCTTTCTTCATCTATTTCATCCTCACTTTCGTTAAAATTACCAGTTTTATTAGTTTTTATTTAATTAATGAAATAGTTTATGAAACGGTACTGACATAATATGAACAACATAAACACGTTGGTCATCTTAGGACAACGACAACAAAACTTGCAACGTACAAATATTATTTTAGAATAACATGTCAAAAGCAACAACGTATTGATAACCCAGAACATGAACGTTAAAATGGGTTGTTTGTGTTTCTACAAACAAAAGATATAACTACTAAAACAAGGTTTATAGAATCCGTAAAATTTCCTCACAAAATATTTCACCAAAACACATTAGTGAAGTGTTTGTGGCTCAGACTGGAGGCTTATAATGCTAAAAAGCGGTTTTCGATACCCGTCGTGGGTACAGTTCGGATAGTCCATTGTGTAGGTTTTCGCTTCACAACAAACAAACAAATCACCATAAAACGCCCCCCTCCCCGTGGCTCAGCGGTAAGACTGAAGGCTTATAACGCTAAAAAGCGGGTTTTGATACCCGTGGTGGGAAAAGTTCGGATAGTCCATTGTGTAGGTTTGCGCTTAACAACAAACAAACAACTCACCGTGAAACGATTTCAAAAAGCAAGTACAGGACCACTGTATTTCCTTTTTTTTTTTTACTTAGGCAAAACGTCGTAGTCAAATTAATTTATTGCACAAAAATACACTAAATTTACACAATACTAGGTCTGAGATCGTGCATCTTAATCAACGTCTTGGCCTTGTACCCTATTTGATATAGATCAGAGATGCAGTTTGTTTGTAATTAATGGGCTATCTGTGCTCTGCCCACCACGGGTATCGAAACCCGGATTCTAGCGTCCGCAGACATACCGCTGTGCAACTGGGGGAGGGGCAGAAGTTTATTTCACCAATGGGAATCGAACATAAAGATTTTTTTTTTTTCGTTTTTCACCAGGATAAGCTGTTGACTTTTTTTTCAACTGGATAGCGTTTATTTCTAGAAAAGTCTTAATGGTGGCACTATGTATTTTATTAAATTAAAGAACCAAGCAGTCTGCGATCTTCATGGAAACGAAATGGAATATCGTGGAAAATGTGGACTTTTATTTTTTTTCATTAAGCATGAAGGAAGTGACGTAGGTGTTTTATCAATAGCAGGACTATGGTAATATGTCTTTTTTTTATCATTAAACATCAGGAAAAGACGTAGGTGTTCTGTCGATAATATGTGCAGTTCACTGTATTATAAACAACGACGAGATCTTCTGTATTTTTTTCTACGTCGAAAACACACAGTTCCTTAACACAACAGACGTAGTTTTTAATAACAGGTTAAAGTGAAACCGCCTATCTATTTGCCCTTTGTAATTCGAGAACAATATTATCAAACTTGTTACAATGGCACAATTTCAAGAGATGAACTATAAATAGATCTTGGAGTCTTTTTTTTTTTCACAGTAACCCTATGTTTTATTTAATTAACTGGGGCCCTTGCAATACAATTGACTAGAAACAATGCTTAATTTGTGGCGGAACTCTCGATTTGGAAGGTATTATGAATTTTTTTTACTTAAAAGTGGAAACAATATAGTTAATTTTATGACAGCCCCCCTTCCCAAATAATAGATTCAATAGCTTTGATAGATTGTTTGGGCATTCTCGTCATGAAGAAACTTAGTCGAATGGACGACAACTGCCTGTTGTAAAAACAGAAGTGTCGAGGACGATATTTCGAAAGTGTTCCGCCTTTCGTCTTCAGACTATCGAAAACGTCGTCCGCTACACTTGTGTCTCTACAAGAGGCAGTTGTCGTCCATTCAGTTAAGTTTCATCGGATCCAATAATGTTCAAGCTGTCATCTTCCAAAATTAAAAACATCGTTCAGGGGGGGATCAAAAATGAATAAGTATGCTAAAAGTGTATTTATAAATTGATTTTTGGGCCCGATAATAATAATAATACACCCCTCACTTTTTATTAGATATATATATATATATATATATATA